AGGCTTCAGTATTCCCCTTCCTTAGAGTTCCAGAAGCCCAAATTGGGTGTTTTCCCCTTGGTCAGTGTATGCTGACCATATACTGCTTGTGGTCAACAGCCCAGGAGATGTAGGTAGGCTGCCAGCTGCCTCCACCCCGCAGGTTTGCTTGGCCAAGAACCACCCGGTGGTCAGGGTCAGGACTCCCACGTGTACTGCCAGCGTGCAGACTTGCTGCCTCACCTCCTCTCGGTTCATCTGAACGGCAGGCAAGAGCATCTCCGGGCAGAGTGCCTGCCATTGTATTTTCATTAGGAAATAGTTCTGCTCCTTAGTCAACCTCGATCTGAAAACACTGGATTTCTTCTGGCCGGGTCTCTGCAGACACTCCCATCTTCTAAGACAGTGGTCTCCAAAGTAGGGTGCACAAGACAGTCTCCAAAGTGGTACACACGCAAGTGGGGTGCAGGAAGAAAATATTTTTTGTACCATTAATAAATACAATTTTAAAATATTTTTTGAAGTATTTCACCTTTCTTTTTCATTTCTATTTTTGTGTAGTTTTAAAACGCACATAATATTAGCATAGTAGTAGATGTATGTAACTTATGAATAAAACAGTTTTGGGGGCATACACCCCAATTTTTTACTGATAGCGGTGGCGTGATCAAAAAAAGTTTGGAGACCACTGTTCTAAGAAAAGCAAGACCTTCAAAGACAGCTTTATACCTTCCTTTTTTAAAGACAACACTAGTTCCTTCAGAACTCAAGTAAGGATGACATGCAAGCGTGCCGAAACACGTCTTCCTCTGGTAAGGCCAGCAGCTCCTCAGTATCCTGGGATATACTGGTCTCACTGAGGCCACTCCCAATCCATGGATTGGCATCATCTTGGCACAAGATGGAGCGGCCCCTGGAAGCCATGGTGGTCTGCCCTCACTCCCCTGCAGGAGGACAGGCAGCCTTACACAGCTCATCTCTGACTTTCCCCGTCAGCCTATCTGCATCAGCAGGGAGCGTAACACCAAGCTTGCCTGCCTTCCACCACACCGTTCTCATGCTCATCCTCCAAAATCCAGCCAGCAGTGGTTTAAGAAATCCTCCTGCAAAAGGGATCCCCATGAGGCCACCTACCTCCACTCATCAAGCCCAGAAGTTATCAGATATAGGCTTTGGCCCTCCTTTCAACTTCTGCTTAAAAGCAGACTTCCAAATTTGTCTGCAGAAATCCACTTTAAAAACAAAAACCAACAAAAAAACTAAACACCCCCACACTATCAAAAAGACTAACAACATCAGTCTTTATTCCAAACGACAGAACTACAGAACACCTGTAATCCTGGTTATATTTTATGGAAATCTTGAAACACTGGACAAGCTGACTTACTGTTCAAACTATAACAATCAGGGATAGCATGATGGCGCTGCTAAAGACAAGTGTTTCTTCTAAACAAATAAACTAAGAGTAAAGGTTTAAAAGTTAACTTTCATTTCTGATGCTTAGCTTTGTCTTCAGGTGTTCTTGCTTAGCAACAAAAGCAAAAAAATAAGCCTGCTTTAGAACAGCAAGTAGGAATAAACGAAGATGTAATCATACAAAGAAGCAATAGTTTAGTACGGTCTCATGCGGCTTGATGGGGGCGGTGCGCGATTCGGAGGAGTAATTGCTATATCCAAGTAGTCTCCTATCTGGAATTTCTGAGACTGCAACGTCATGGAATCATCTGTGCCCTTCCTGCCTGACATGGTACTGCCGATCTCCTTCACCCTGCGCGCAGGAGAGAAAAGGCAAGTTAGTGATCAGAGGCAAATCTCTCTAGATGTCCAAAACGGGAACCGCATCGGCTCACGACCACCTTCCCATGCCATCCTCTGCACTGTACGTAGCATTTAGCGAGGCACACAGGGTGCTGGGTTTTTTCTCTCCGGTACCAGGTGCACCAAGAAAAGCCACACTAAATCCTCCTTCTGTTGGGGCAGAGGGGTGGGGGAACTTTCTACCGTATTAAGTTAAATACCAGAGAGAACCCCCTGCCCCCCTCCATACACACACAGAACAAGACCCCGCAGATTACAGAGCAGGATATATCCACTGGTTGCTGACAAAGGTTAGCTCATACAATTTTGGAAGATGGATACCTGCAACAAGATCACTGCTAAAACTCGAATGCATTCTCAGGTACAAGACCTACCACTCCTCATATCACCAGAAACAAAGCTTTATCTCAAGCTGCAGGTCCACGTTCTGGTTGATTGCCAATACAGCAACCAAAGCCTTCGAGCACACAGGTTCGTTGTGGTGGGAACACATTAACAATGATGGCCACCAAGCAAAATTTAGAGTTTGCAGCGGCCTTCATGTAGTCCGTTACCAAGAACTTTAGAAATTTGATTTGTGGGTTCTGAACTTTAAAATCAGTGTTAATGAAAAATAATTTACTGCTCTGGTGGTTGAAGTCTTCTACTAACCCAGAGAAGAAATGCCATTTACCTATATCCAGGCCTCTTGAGATCTGTAAAAACAATTGCGAAATTGAAGTGCGTGCCCTTCTTCCGCGCTTCCGGGTAGACTTCTTTCACTAAGCTGGTCAGCTCTTTCAGAGTTGCATCCATCCTAGATTAAACAAACAAGCCAAAGCGGTTCACCTTCTTAAAAGCAACAACAATAAAAAAAGCTTCCCCAAACCCATTTAAGGTGGAATCAATATATTGCTACAACTTAATCATGTATTTCCTTGCATTTGCATACTTTCTGTCGGCACCTGAAGATGAGCAAGATCTTAGATTTCGGCTACATAGTGAGAGCCATTGAATTCACAACTACGTGGCATTCCAAACAATACATTTTGGTCTAACGATCAAGTGACAAGAAGTTGCTCTAGTTATCGATTAAAACACCTGGGAGAATTCACCACTTACTGTACACTGGAGGCAACATGGTCTAGTGCAAATGTGGTTCTAGCTGTAGTAGCTGCTAATTTACTGTGACACTAGACAACTCTCTTCAGCCCTGTGTACGTTTCAACATCCGCTTTTCCATGTCTCCCAAAAGAGTTACTATTTAAACAGCAGGGAACTTATTTTTAAATACATTAATGCATTTATACAATGAACGCTATAAGTGTTTCCTCACCTAAGTTGGTGTCTATGTTAAAATAGCTTCTTGAATACTAGAGGAAATGTAGAAATAGAAGAAAAAAAAAAATCATGAATAGTTTTCCATTTCCATCAGCATGCCTCCTCTTCCCAGCCTTCAACCAGACAAGGGCTAAAGCTCATTTCTAGAATTTCAAGAACAAAAGGACTCAATCATCACAACTAAAGCGGCTCTAATTATACAGACTGGACACTCACTCCAAGCAACCAAGGAGCAGTGTGTTGACAGACAATGCCCGTTCTGACTTCTGCAGATGGCAAACAGCTCAGACACCATCAATTGCCTGGACTGAGTCCATAAATCCCATTAAGAAGTAAATTAGAACTGCATGCTTTGCTGGCCACAAAAATGGATTTATTCAACCATACGACATACAAGTTATAAACCTAGCAGACACCTTGAAGGAAAAATAAGATTTAAAAAGTAGCATAATTCACTTTCAAAAGCATTCTTCAAAATACTATATACAAAAACTAAGGTGTTTGCAACGCAGACTAAAGCAGTTCTCCAAACTGAATTTGAAAGCAATAAAAAGCAGGTCTCTGTTAAAGCACTGCTACCTGACCAGACAAGAAGAAACACGTTACTCCACCCTCAAGAGCCTCTGACTTAAAACCAACACACCATTCACACAACAGTTCAAGCCGTCTGGGACAACTACTTCTGCTGAAAAAACAGGACTGTTTGAACAAAATTTAAGCATTAGTTAAAGGAGAACCTCTGTGTTGAATAGACTCGTTGTGACAACCAAAGATATGCCACAACACAAGCCTCCGATTACCCACATCAGTAATTGGGCAATTCAACCGCAGCAAGTTTCAGCGTGCAGCAGCCAGCACTTCGCTAGAGTTGCGCTTCCGTGGATGCCACGTCTAAGTGCCACGGCCATAGGCAGAAGCGCCGTATCTCAGCGGCAGCTGCCTTCCCCCGCCGAGCTGCCACCACAGCGGAGCGCACAACT